ACTCACATTTTTATGAGCCTTATTATTGCCTCCCTGTATTTGTCAGCATCGAGTCTATTCTGGCAGGGGTCGAAATGTGCTTAATTGTCTATTTTGGTTTGATCAAAATGGAAACTTCAAGTGCTTGCTGCCAGGAGGGAACACATAGGTAAGCAATAATTACTGTAATTTGTTTGAAAGACTGAAGACCATGAAGTTCAACTTTTAGACATTATGCAGTTGTCCTATAGGAGGTTGAAGCTAATGAGACAGTTATATTTAGAATTTCAGTATTTTTAAAAATGGATGCTTTATCTTTTCTTTATATTTAGCGTTACATTTCAATAATGAGAATTACCTATTAATATTTTGAAATTAAAAAAATGAAAAACTATAATAAACTAAAAGTACCTTAAATGTATTTCAAGTGTTACAGTGTTCTGCCTTTTTAAATTTAGGTTACACTACTGTTAAGTTAAATAAGGAAGGCTTACTCACCTTGAATCCCACGCCATGCCAGTCTTGCAGCATCCATCGCTCTTCCCCTGCCTGAGATCACTACTCCAAATAATCTCAGCCAATACAATGCTTCTCATAGGGAAGCACTGGGGGGCTACTTTGCGTGCATGCACCAATCAGAATCTCTTCGTAGAGATGCATTATACCACTGCTATGGGGAGTGTTTGACGTCTTCATGATGAGCATGAAGACACTGAATGTTGGTCCTGGAAAGGTTGCAATAGGGAATCAACACAGTAAAGGAGGAGACTATATTTAAAAGAAGAAAAACTACCACAACAAGAGGACATAGTCTTAAATTAGAGGGACAAAGGTTTAAAAATAATATCAGGAAGTATTACTTTACTGAGAGGGTAGTGGATGCATGGAATAGCCTTCCAGCTGAAGTGGTAGAGGTTAACACAGTAAAGGAGTTTAAGCATGCGTGGGATAGGCATAAGGCTATCCTAACTATAAGATAAGACTAGGGACTAATGAAAGTATTTAGAAAATTGGGCAGACTAGATGGGCCGAATGGTTCTTATCTGCCGTCACATTCTATGTTTCTATGTAATAGGAAGCATCTTTGGTTGCTGTCTGAGGGTCAGCTCAATGTAAGTGATTTTCCGAACCAATGTTTTGTTAGTTGTAATTAATTTTTTAGTTCTTTAACGAAAAAGGTTATTTATTGATAAATTAAATATTAAAAGACAATTAAAAGACACAACCTTTTGCTTTAGAGAAACTGCAACCAAAAAGTACGTAAATGCCAGATGTTACAATGTAAAATAATCCCTTATATTTTTTTTTTTTTTAATTATGATGGATTGTTTAATCAGCATTTATGCCAAAAAACAGCAAAGAATTCCTCACTAAGGCAAACAGATGTATTCTATTAGTTTAATGTTTGGAACCAAAGATTGAGCTTTTTGTGTATCAAATCAATTATTTTTTTTCTGTGAAATGGTAATTGTTTGGGTTTGTTGACTTAGGTTTAATTAATAATGAATGGCATATTTGATTGTCTAATCTGCAAACCTGATAACATTTCAAATGAACTGGCTCTGAGACTTTTGAAAACACACAAACAAACTATGATCTATCACATTGATTTCTATTATCTTGAGGGGTTTTTTATGCTCAACAACCCCTACATATTTCTAAAAGCATGACTTGCCCCATATTTGCCTTTTCCCGCTTCTCTTATCTTCTACTTTTGTACTGATACCTACTGTATTTCTTTCTTTCATTTTTAATTTATGTATGTCTGTCAGCGTGTGCCTGTCACTGAGTGTGAGTGTGTGTCATGGTATGTGTCCCTGTCAATGAAAAAGTGGGTTTGTGTCTGTCAGTGAATGTTTATGTCTGTCAGTGTGTATGTGTGTCTGACAGTGAGTGTGTATGTGTCTGCCTGTGAGTGTGTATGTGTGTCTGTCAGTGAATGTGTAGGTCAGGTACTGTATGTGTGTCTGTCAGTGAGTGTGTGTGCATGTGTCTGTAAGTGAATATATAGGTCTGTCAGTGTGTGTGTCTGACACTGGATGTGTGTGTCTGACACTGAATTTGTGTGTGTGACTGTCAGTCAGTGTGTGTGTGTTTCTGTCAGCGAATTTGTATGTGTGCCTGTTAGTGAGTATCTGTCAGTGAGTGTGAATGTGTGCCTGTCAGTCAATGTGAGTGTGTGTGCGTGTGTCTGTCAATGTGTCTGTCAGTGAATGTGAGTGTGTGTCTGTCAGTGAGTGTGTATGTCTATTAATGTGTTTTTGTCTGTCAGTCAGGGCCAGATTAAGAGCCCAGTGGGCCTGGTGCTGACAATTATGAGGGGCCTAAGTACAGAATTTTATCGACCAAAAACACTAAAACAGTCATACCTCTCAAGCGTTATGTATTTGGTGGAGGTGTTGCCGGAGGGAAACTCATAGGATGCAGCTATTAAAAAAACTCAGATTCTCTTAAAATGTGCTAATCTCTCTCTAATTCATTATTTAATCTTATAAGTAAATACATACCCCATAACAGCAGTGTCCAGTGAAGCAGGAAGTCAATGTGCGGTGTAAAAGGGTGGGCCACTGACGCAGGCTATGTACTCCCGAAAGGGCCGAATATTCCCAAAAAGGAGTCGTGTCTGCCCAAAGAATTGGAAGGCTAGCCTGGCATGAATACATGTCAGGCTGTCTGCCAATCAAGCATGCTGGCCAACAGCATCCCGAACTTGGCATAAATGTGTCTACTGATGCGCTCGTTCCATGCTTTCTAAGGACTGTTCCCAAGCACTCACATGTCCACTTGTCTCCTTACCTTCTTACTAGCAGACAGAAAGTCCTAGTATACAGTCTGAGACAGAGAAAAGGTGGATGTAGTGAGTGTAGAAGAAAGGGAACGTGCCACAGTGTTAGAGAGACCAAAGTCATCATTACCTTAACTAATTTCATTTCAGCTAGTCCACACATGTTTTGTTTCCAGATATCCCTCTAAAGTTTCCATACTGAAGCAAGAGTATGTGAAGAGCACTTAGGGTTTCCACCTTTCTTTGAATAAAATACAGGCCTTACTAATTTGCATAACTAATTATGTATGTGTAACATCATATGATGTAAATCACAAGGAGTGACAGAGAAAATTCAGTGAAATCACCAAAAAACAACTTAGTTTGATTCTGCTGTATAGATGGATTGTTCCCAGTGTCTCCCTGCCACCCAGTGTCCCCTATGGTCTGTGTCCCCATGTCTCCCAGTGTCCCCATGTCACCAAGGGACACTGAGAGACATGGGGACACTAAGACACCAGGGACACTGGCTGGGAGACATACTGACACTGAGACATCTGTGTCCCCGTGTCCCCAAGTGTCTCAGGGTCCCCATTTCTCAGTGTCCACATGGGTGTCTGTTTCCCCATGTCTCAATGTCCCCATGTGTGTCTGTGTCCCCATGTCCCCTAGTTTCTCAGTGTCCCCATGTGTGTCTGTGTCTCCAGAGGTCTCCATGTGTCCTTATGTCTCATAGTAGAGTAAGTGATGAGAACCGCACCCAGTCCCAACGGCCAAGGGTGCTCCAGAGCAGGACCAGCAATCCCAGTACAATAATCCAAGAGGAAAAAACTCACAGGCACTCCAACTTCAAGCCGCAGGCAGATTTATTATGACAGAATGCAACGCAACGTTTCGACCGGAAAGGTCTTTTTCAAGCTTGAAAAAGACCTTTCCGGTCGAAACGTTGCGTTGCATTCTGTCATAATAAATCTGCCTGCGGCTTGAAGTTGGAGTGCCTGTGAGTTTTTTCCTCTTGGCTTATATCTCATAGTGTCCCCTAGTGTCTCAGTATCCCCATTTCTCCCTGCAGCCTTTACCCCATCTTTCACTTCTCTGAGCTGTAGGCTGTCTCTGCAGGCTGGGAGCTGCTGTCTGGACTCCCCTGCGGATCAGTGAGTAGAGCGATGCACTAAGAGTAGTGTGTAAAAAAAAAAAAAACTCAATAGGCCTATTCCATGGGCCTGGGCCTGGGCCTGGAGCTGCAGCTCCATCAGCCCCTATGTTAATCCAGCCCTGCTGTCAGTGTGTGTGCGTGTGTGTGTGTCTCTCACTGGAAATGTGTGTTGGTTACACAATGTGTGTGCCGATGACTGTTTATCTGTCAGTGAGTATATGTCAGTGTATGCATCAGTGATGGCGTGTGTCTGTCAGTCAAAGACCGTGTTTGTCTTGAACAGGTAGAGGTATGGCCCTGACAGGGGGTGCAGCAAATTTAGATTAGGGGTTACCTGAGTTTTTTCATGCCTAAAACAGCACAAATCCAAAATACACCACTGCTTGCATCTCCCAAAAAACAAAATTGCCAACTTTGTGTGTTTCTTTTTCCCCCTCCCGAGCCCCTCTGTTTGTCTCTTCCCCAGTGTCTTTTTGTTTCTCTTTCTCCCCAGATCATTTTTCTGTCTCTCCCAAAGCCAACTTTTGTGTTTCTCTCCCCAGCCCCATTACATGTCTCTCCCATCAGCTTCATCGTGTGTCTCTCCCCCAGCCCTTTTGCATGCCACTGTCTCTTTTCCCAGCCCCTTTGAGTATCTCTGTGTCCCCTTCCCCATCGCCTCTGTGTGTGTCACTGTCTCCTTCCCCAGCTCTCTTTGTGTCTGCGTGTCTCGCTGTCAACATCGCTAGCTCTCTGTGTGTGTCACTGTCCCCTTTCCCTCTGAATGTCTCTGTGCCCCATTCCCCATCTGCTGTGTCCCCCTCAGCCCTTCTGTGTATTTCACTGTCCCATTCCCCATACTGCCTTATCTCCCTATTGCAGTGCAGTTAATACCCATGAAATGTTTTAGGTGGCTGTGATTGGTTTGCTCCACCAGTAGATTTAAATTGATACACTACAGTATATTATTCTTTGTTAGCTACATTGGATCACTTTTGTTACTAATGTATACAAATGTACTTTTGGCTCAAGAGTCATTGTAGTGTTTTTAACTGTGATGATCCTGCTTGGTTGTTTCTATAGAAACAAGCTGGAATGCATGCAACTGTGAAGACTGGTAATAGATGGGGGGAGCATGCCCATGTTCTCTGGCTGGCAAGACAACAGTGTTATTGTGTGCATGCTGAACAAAGGGGTGAGTACTTTTTTTTATGTTTCTTGTGGATAAAGATACAGTATGTTGTGTATGATCTGTATTTAGATGGAGATAATTGTATATATATATATATATATATATATATATATATATATATATACACTTGTGATGGTGTGTGTGTGTGTGTGTGTGTATGTGTGTGTGTAATTATAAAATATGTAAAAAAAATAATTTCTTCTATCTTCTCATATATTTTCTTGTCCTTTTTTCTCCTTTCTCTTTATTCATTATTTTCATGATATTCTTATAAATAATGGATTAATGACTTATATTAGGGTATCAAAAAATCTTCAATAATGCATCTAGTTGATGCAGGGATGGAGGGGGAATGTTAAATATCCCACTGAACTTAGGGTGAGTATCATGGTTGCCTCTCGAGGCTATAGATTTTAATATTAAATAATTAATGGATCCATGGGTAGGATTTTATAATCTTTACTTACTTATTTATTTATTTCCCCCTCTCAGTTTTGTATGGCTGTCTTGGCAGTGATGGTCATAGTAGTTTTCATTTATAAAAAAAAATATATATTTTTTTTTTTTGCAATTAACAATATGTTTATTGCTTTGATGGATTTTTGGCGAGGTGGATTGGGATGTAGATAACTGCTGGTGTAGAAAAAAGGAGCTAAAATACTACAGTTTGACAAACATTTGAAATAATTGCTTAAAATGCTATTTAGCTTCTATTACCTTTCCTTTTTTTTTCTTTTCCTCGTTTCTCATGTTTACCGTGTCCTGTCTACCAATTGGGTCCTGCGCGACCATCTGATGCCTATGTTTATCTAGACCTACGAGTCTTATCTTGTCTCCTTGCTCAAAATTTCTCCTAATAAAAAAAATATTCAGATATTTGAGATTACAACTTCTTGAATTGTTGAAATACAATCTACCTTACCCTCATCGTAATAAATGTAATGTTACAAAACACTGGGGTATTGAAATCATCCTTCTAAAGCAACAATAAATATTGTTTATGCATTTTATAATGTTCAAAGTCTAAGCACAAAAAATAGCTACTACTTGCAATCTCTCTTAAAATTACAAAACATATCCAGCACTTCAAAGAATACTGTTGGATCTCATGTCAGAGAGTGATGTCATAAGTTTTTACATTAATTTTAATATTTGTGTTAGCTCAGTCATGGTCAAAAAAAAAAAAAGTCATTGCTCTCAGTGGCGTCTCCAGCATTCATATTTAGGGGGGGCACATTGGGGGCCAGGGACAGAAGTAGGGGGGCAATTACAAAACATGTGTGTATGTGTATATATATATATATATATATATATATATACACACACACACACACACACACACACACACACAAATGTGGAGAACATTTAAAAGTTTAAAAGTTAACAAAATTCAGATTTCCAATTCAGATTTCCAGCACCTTGTTAAATATGCTAAAGTCTGCTTTAGAAATGCAATTGTAACAATATCTCATGATGCCAGAATTGTTACAAAACTAGTTGGTTTTTTTTATATTTACTTTTAAAATAATTTACAACATGCAATTTGAAGGGAATTTAAATTGACACTTCTATATAAATATTTCACATATAGAAAATGGTCACTTAACAGTGTATTCTCTATGCTACAGTTTAAGCATTTATAGTGACACACTATACTCAACACACAAACTCAATTGAATTTTTCCTGTAAGAAGAGCAGATTTAGCTCTACTTCCATGCACAACTAAAAATGGATAGCACTAAAGTTTGTGCCCTGACCTATAGTTGGTGAATACTATACCAACACAAACTAAAATGACTTGTTTCATTCTCATGCTCACAATATGGAATCCTGGGTACATACATATCATTTACTCAAAAGCTGCAATTAAAGTTCACGTTACTTACAGTAGTAGTGCCACTGTCTGGAGTGTCTGCTCCGCTCACTCAGTCCCTGTGCAAACTGCACTCTCAGGTAGGCAAGGTTTCACACCTTATGTGGGGCCGCACTGCAAACTTTCTGCAACCTCTGGTAAGTAAGGTGACACTGTCACAACACTGTCTGCAATCTCAGGAGTAAGTACCACTGTCATACCACTCACTGTCTGCAATCATGAGTAACTAACCTTTGTCACACTCACACCACTCGCTGTAATCACTGCAATTAATTAACTTTTCTCAGAAACTAGATAATACCTACTCCTCTCTGCTTGATCTGTTCTGCCTCCTTTGCTCTTGCTCCTCTCTGCTTGCTCTGCTCTGCCTCCTCTCTGCATGCTCTGCTTTTGTTCCTCTCTGCTTGCTCTGCTCCACTACTCTCGACTTGCTCTGCTCTCTACTCTGCCTCCTCTCTGCATGCTGTGCTTCTATTTGCATGGTCTGCTTTTGCTCCTCTCTGCTTGCTCTGCTCCACTACTCTCGGCTTGCTCTGCTCCTCTCTGCTCCGCTACTCTCGACTTGCTCTGCTTTTCTCTACTTGCTCTGCTTCTCTCTGTTCCTCTCAGCTCTTGTCCTCTCTGCTTGCTCTGCTCCCCTCTACTTGCTCTGCTCCGCTCCTCTTTACTTGCTCTGCTCCCCTTTACTTGCTCTGCTCTGCTCCTCTCGACTTGCTCTTCTTTTCTCTACTCGTTCTGCTTCTCTCTGCTCCTCTCTGCTTGCTCTGCTCTTATCCTCTCTGCTTGCTCTGTTCCTCTCCACTTGCTCTGCGCTGCCTCTTCTCTGCTTGTTCTGCTCCTGCACACATATTGCCTAATACAAACTCACCCATACACGCACACTGTCTGATACATCCATCCATACATTTCTACACACATATTACCTGATTCATACATCTATACACACATATTGCCCAATACATACACACATATTGCCTAATACATAGACCCATAAACGCACACTGCCTAATACATCCATCCATACACACATACTGCCTAATATCAGACATCCCAAGTCTCCCGGTAGTTCCGGGAGACTCTCACATGTTGAATGCGGCTCCCTGACACTCGCAGATCATACACAATATCCCCTTAAATCACACACACAATCAAATCTATAAAGTATGACTTATGTGCATGTCAATATGTGTATCTGTGTGTGTGTTTCAGTGTGTGTATCTGTGTTTTAGTGTGTGTATCTGAGTGTATGCATCAATGTGTGTGTATCTGAGTGCCAGTGTGTGGGTATCTGAATGTATGTGCTAATGTGTGTGTGTGTATTTCAGTGTATGTGCCAGTGTGCGTTTCAATGCGTGTATCTGTGTGTCAGTGTGTATGTGCCACTACGCCTATCTGTGTGTCTGTGTGTGTTGGTAGAGGGGAAGGCAGAGTGAGCGCACATGTGCGTGGAGGGGGGGAGGGTGGGGGGGCGTAGTAAAATGCATTTTTTGCACCCTGAAATGCATTTTTGAATGTTGGGATGTCTGTAATACATACATTTTACATGAAATCTATAATTTATAGCTGTGATAATATTTTCATTCATATTGTGGGATTTTATTTATAATAATAATAACCTAGACTGTAGGTTCTAATACAGGTATTTATTTTGTAATCTAGAACTGCTAATATTGCACCTATGCTTAATAATTAACTGACCACCGTTTGTTGCTGTCTACATTCTGCTGAACACACCTTGAATTCCCATTAACCAACCTAGCAACCTAAAAATCTTTCCTCAATCAATACTCCACCACAAATCACTTACTACCACACTCTCCCCTTACCCACGACAACAGTTCATCACTCTAAACAACATCTCTTCTATCACCCTCCCCCCCCATCACATCTCTAAAGCAAAATAACTAGCATTAGAACATCATTCTCTACCCAGAGTTAATTTCTACCTCATACGTCTTCCTAAAATGCTATATTTTTCTTTCCCAACATCTCTGATAATGACTTTGATCGAGCGATTTAACCCTACCACCTTCGGACCAATTCCATTCCACATTCTCTCTTGGCTCCCCTTCTCCAAATCATTCTAGCCTACCTTAACTCTTAAACACACTTCCACTTCTAGTGAATTCAAAACGGCAGTTATCTCTCAACTTCTAAAAAAATGATGTGTCACAATTATCATCCAACACAGCACTTTATAAACAGAATATAAACCCACCAGATTATAGACAGAGAAAGTACCTATACCGGTCCTTAGAATGGCCGGATAAAATAGGTAAAATATAAAATGAGAAAGGAGACAAGACAAGCCGAGGTCAAAAGAAGTCAGAAAAGCTGGGTCAAGGAAGCTAGAAAATAGGATAGTCAAAGCAAGCCGAGTAACAAGTCAGTAACAAAAGGGACCAAACAGAGAACAAAATTGCACTCTTGGGACACTTGTAAACTAGGAATCACAACAGAGCACTGTATACTGGGCAAGGTGAGTTTTTCAATGGTTGGGGGGCGAGTTTATCATAACAACGCCCCAAAAACATGACAGATCGTTGGTGGTTAGTGGTTTCGGCCGCAGTGACGTCATGACCTAGCGTCAATAATAGGGGGGTGCGCACAGTGGCCGGTGTCCAGGAAACTGTCTCAGTGCTTATGAGGCACAGAAGTGGCGGTCTGCTGGATCGGAGAAGCAGCTGATCATCGGACCACCAAGTAAGTACAGAATTCCTTACACCCTGCCCTTCTTACTAGTTTTTGAGCTGTCTGAAAACTTCTCTAAATGTCTTGAATGTTTTAAAAACAAAGACAGGCCCCACTAGGCCCCATGGAATATTAGATCCTGGGTCCTTTGAAGATTAAATATTAAGTAAATGTTAAATATGATGTTAAATATACCCTTTGAAAAAAGCCTGTCAGGTATGCTCTCAAGTGAGAATTGCTGTAAAAATGTAATTTTAAAATACAAGCCTAAATAGCTGTATTACAAAAATTCTCCAAATCAATTTTGTTGTCCATTTTGATTATTTTTTTAGGCATTCTACTTAAAATTCACTCTGCATTTCTTACTTTAATCAATAACCTTGTGTATACTCATCTGCTGATTTAATATTATCATTCAGGGACATAACTAGAATGACCTGGGCCCTGGTGCAAGATTCAAAGAAGGGCCCCCTCGTTGCCCCTCCTTGCTCCTCTCTAAGCAATAGACTTAAGTGTGATAACTATGGTTGCTGTGGGTGATTGTGCAAGGGTTGGTCAAGTGTAACTGTGTTTGGGACTTAGCTTAGTGTGATTGTGGTGGTTAACTGAGTGTAATATGTATATGTGGTGTTGGCTAAGAGTTATTTGTTTATATAGGGACTGGCTGAATGTGAGTGTGTGTTGCGGTTAGCTGGGTTTGATTGTGTGGGGGTTGTGTGTGAATTAATAATAAATCATAATTACAAAACAGACACAGGTGCACAAACACTGAGGTAGGCACACAAAGTGACAGAAACAGGCACATACACAGGTATGCACACACAGGCAGGCACACACACACACTGATGCAGTCACACACAGGCAAACACAGGCATGTGTCTGTGTGCACCTACTGGATATACAGACACAGGCATTAAACTGTGCTCACAGATGCAGGTATAGACAAAGACAGCCATTAACAGATAGGCATACACAAACAGGCACATATTCAGGCACAGGCTTACAGACAGAAACATGCATACAGAGACATTGGCATATACAGGCAAACATCGACACAAAGACAGCGTACAGAGACAGCAGGATTAAATGACAGGTACACATAGATGTAGGTATAGATGCAGACACTGCTATTAATAAACAGGCATATACACACAGGCACAGAAAGCATACTGGTTCAGGCATAAGCTTACACACAGACACAGGCATAGAAAGACACACAAACAGGTTCACTATGAAAAAATATTTTTTAATTTTCCTCCCTGAAAGCAGGGTCAGCAGCTGCAAGCCCCATTCCTCAATGTCACATAGAAAATGAGGGAGAGGAGACCTAGCACTTTCAAACCCCAATCTCGGCTCCACTGCTGCTGTGCTTCTCCACTGTCCTTTCTTCTTGATGATTCTCAGCAATTGAAGCCACACACTATGAGTTTCAATGTTTTAGCATGTGGCTTACACAACAGAAGGATCAAGCAGGAGAAGGGCTGTCAGGGCGACCAAGCAGGAGAATGGCTGTGCAGGGAGTCCGAGCAGGAGAAGGGCTGGGCGTAGGGTCAGAGCAGGAGAAAGACTAGGCAGGGACTGAACAGGACAACATATCTGACCCCCAACTATAATTAACTGAATTGTTTAGTACATTGCCAAATAGGCAATATATTAAATAACATTAATGGGGGCCCCAAAGCTGGCCAGCCCCCCTTAACAGGTAGAACTCCTGGGCCCAGTCACAATTGCAACCATTGTGACCCAGGTCGTTCCACAACTGCAGAAGAGGCATCAGCATGGGTCAACACGTCAACTGGGACCCCTGGAGTGACTGGCCAGGTCGCAGCTGCAACCATGGTAATTCCTGGTCTCATTATCTATACATGCTGTGAGTGCTCCATGTGAGAGGAGAGCAGGGGATCTGATGACACTGTCCGTGCCTCCCATCCTTACTCAGAGCACAGTCAGGGCCGGAGCGTCCATAAGGTGGCACAGACAGCTGCCTTAGGGTGCACTGGCCCAGCGTGAGCGCTAGTTTCGAGTGACCCAGCAGAAATAAGTAACAGGAAGGGTAAGAGAGAAGAACACTAAGGGACATGGAGGGGAGAGTGGCACACAGGGGGGGGCTGAAATACACAAATAGAGACATGAGGGGGGAGAAAGACACACAGAGGGGCTGGGGATCAAAGAGACACACAGAAGGGCATGAGGATGGAAATACAAAGGGGATGGGGGTGCAAGAAACAAAAGGGGGGTTAAAAGGCACATAGGTGAAGATGCTTTTTTTTGGGTGGGGCTGGGGCGCCATAAAAAAAACCTGTGTACCCAAAAATCCTTGCTCTGGCCCTGAGCACCTATAAACATTGTAAACCGAATATGGTGGGATCTTAGGGCTATTACCAAACCCTGAAAGCATCCAGCGTTATGACAACATCTAAATCTAAAAGTGATAGTTACTCATAATGAGCTAGTGAGTTTTAGTCAGATCTGAGGGCTATTACAAAACCATACTAATATTCAGAATACTTACAGCGAACAATATCAGAAAATAATTATTACAACATTGTAATTCAGAAATTAATAACCCTTCACCTCATGTCACTCCCTCTATGCCTCATGATTCTTTTGTTTTTTTACCCCTTTTTCTCCCCCCCCAGATGACAACTGTAACAGAACATTTGTTATTGCCTGGAAGCCCCTGCCCCAACCGTGTACTCAACACCCCTTTTTACAGTCCCTGTATTTGCTTCATGCAGCTGAGAACAAAGACCATTCGTTTATTTGTATTCCCTTAAAATGACTGATCGTGTATTTTTCCATAACCGTTCATATACCGAATATTCTGTCGAACGACCAACCACCCAGAGCAGGAGTGTGGCACCAATAAACCCTCTTGACCTGTAAAAACTGCAAACACCTCAACATTTGAATGGATTAACAGGGTGGTCAGCGTTCGTCTGTGCGAACACGTGGCGGCGGCCATTTTGTCTAGTCAAACGCACTCAGCGGTATTTGGTCGTCGACCGCATGGAATCAATTTTGGCGAACACCACTGAACTTCTACCTTCCGTGCATTCGACTGGAATCATACGAACAAAGCGCTATTTCGGGAAGATATTCATACGAACAAACTGTATTCATTGATGGTAGACATGAACGGTTCCATTCATGTAATTTGCACTTATTGTCAAGAGAAAAATAGACCGACCATACAGACTGAATCTTTGGAACTACTTTGGACAGGGAAATGTGCGAACAGTCGGTCACATCCACCTTTTAACTAACTCCTGAACCACAGATCCGATTTAACTCATTTTTGGATATGTTGTTTCTCTGATGGTACTGGTTAATAAAATGTAACTTTTGTTAAAATCGTATGGATAGTTTTAGAGTTACAGAAAATGTGAAAAAGTATATATTTTTAGCTTGGAGATAATTGAGCTGATATAACAATTAACTCAATTATCTCCTAAGCAGAGGGGAGGAATGTACTGTAATTAATGGGTGTGCTATAACTGTAAATCTGTATCTGTTTGGCTGCTGTGATTCCATTGTCAGTGCCCCACTAGGTCCACGTGAGTGGTAACCTTACTGTAAAACCTGCATAAAAGAAACTGCTTTTTGTGGTCATTAAACCAGTTCTGCTTAACCCTTCAAAATGTAGCCTCGTCTCGTTATTGAAAGGGAACCTGCTCCAGCATAATCACTAACTCTTTTAAGAACTCTGCTTCTCTCTCTACTCTGATCCAGCAGATGGGATATCTTGACTACACTACAGCACAGCACCTTGCCGGGAAGAAGGACGTCTCCAATGGCAGATACCCCTCTACAATCTGGATAGCCGTTACAACAACTCAAAACTTAGTTTAAGCCGGGTGGCTTTTAACAGGAGTGCTGCTTCGCCTGTGTACCCAGAAATCCTTGCACCGGCCCTGAGCACAGTGCAGAGAGAGAAAAGACACCAGTCAGTGAGGGCAGGTATGCTTCCAGGTGTCACTAGTGGGGAATTAATTTGCAGTGTGATAGGTTGCAGGGGCCCTCTGTGTCATCCTGGGCCCCCTGCAACCGTTCACTGGAATTAATTTGCATAACTTCCTTCAGCTTGAAGCGATCTCTGGATGTGCAGTCGGGCCCCTGATTGCCTCGGGCCCTCGGCCCATGACCAATCTGCCCAATCTGCACTAGTGACACCTGGAAGCATACCTGCCCTCACTGACTGGTGTCTTTTCTCTCTCTGCACTGTGCTCAGGGCCGGTGCAAGGATTTCTGGGTACTGCCATTGGAGATGTCCACCCCTCTAATCAGCCGTCCACTCCCATTTAAACCTCCCACCAATTCAATCTAATTTCTGGGTCAGACAGACCTCTCTGTCCATAACTTCCTCACACAAGTACAAGGAATTCTTAACTCCCTTCTGTACTCCTCTTTTATCTGTCTGTTGTTTTAATTTATTTAACATTCAAAAAGTCTGCCTTCTATTCACCTTCTGTTCTGCAAAACTCTATAATCCACTACCTTGCTCCTCCTCACCTGTTCTCACTCATCTCCTACTATACTCTAAATCAGGGGTAGTCAACCTTTTAATAAGTACCGTCCACTTATGTATCTTTGTTTCCTTTCCAGAATTTCCTTAACGCCCACCGGTGCTGCAGTAACTCAATTTTTCTTGCTCAAGTGCAAGAAAGTTTTTAGAAAGATTTATTTTTTTTAAATTACTTAAATTTATCTTTTTTATTTCTACTCTATGCATGTTTATACATATATAATTTAAATTTAATGATTGTCCACATCTCCGTCGATGCAGCGCCTACTACTGTGGGAGCTGCTTAAAGGGACACTTCACTGCCCAAATACAAAATAAATAAAAATTATTCAGCACTGTACAATAGGTGGACTAACAGGCAAGACAAGTTGGATGCACAGGAACAGAGAGTCTAGAGGGCCCTGCTCAAACGAGCTTACACACTAGAGTAAAAGAGTAATTATACAATCTGCATTTTCAGATTGTAGTGGTGTTACTGAGAAAGGCTCAGGCACCTGGTTTGTGGAACCACCATCCTCTATACCTAAGGTGAGCAAGTGTGCACCCAAGGACAAAAAGGACAAGGTGAGGGCTGATAGAAAGCAGTTGTTGTTGGGGGATTCTATCTTAAGAGATGTGGAGTTGAACAATAGTGGCTTTGTGAGAAGTCTTCCTGGAGCTACTGCTCACAGAGACAGGAGACGTATTTGTAATATTGTTAAGCAATCAAAGCAGGAAGGGGAATTAGATGTACTTGTCCATCTTGGGACAAATGATTTGTCTTGTAATGAGCTTTCTGCCAATGATATACGGCAGGTTGCTTCCACATTGTCATTCTCTGAAGTTCTGCCTGTGCATAACACTCAGAATGACAGGCAGATGCGTATTAGGAACTTTAACTTGTGGCTTGGTGAATGGTGTCGGGAGTAAGGATTTGGCTTTGTTTCTCATGGTAGCTCTATTTGGAATAGAAATGAACTGTACAAAAAAGATGGTTTGCATCTTTCTCTAAAGGGAACAAATGTTCCATGTAACCGAGACATGCTATAATGAGAAAAATTACTGGGACATATCAATACAAGGGTACTCTTTATATAGAAAAGACAGAGAAGGCAAGAAAGGGGGAGGGGTGGTCCTGTATGTGATGGATAGCATAAAATCTTGCCTAATAAAAGTTAGTGAGGTGAACATAGAGTCCGTTTGGGTTACGTTAGAATTTAGAGATCACACAGTAACTTGTGTAGGTGTGATTTACAGGCCACAGGACAAAGAGAAGAGTTAGATAATCTACTAGTTGAGGAAATAGCTTAAATGACAATGAAGGGGGGAGTTATCATCATGGGTGACTTTAATCTTCCTGATTTGAACTGGAAATCCAAAATAGCTGCTTGTGCAAGGAGCACACATATTCTAAACTCCTTACTGGGATTGTCTCTAAAACAACTCATTGAGGAACCATAAGGAGGCCATACTAGATTTAGTGTTAACAAATGTAGATTTGGTATCAGATATTACTGTAGGTGAAAGTTTAGGATCCAGTGATCATCAGTCAATGTGGTTTAATATAAGAACATTGACTGAGTCACACCACACAAAAACAAAATTTTAGACTTTCGAAAAACAGACTTTTCTAAAATTAGAATATGCGTGAAGGAATCCTTGTCAGACTGGAGCAGTTTAAATGGAGTCCAGGAGAAATGGGATTATTTAAAAGTTGCACTGCTCAAGGCAAAAGAAAATTGCATTAGGCTTGTCAGTAAAAGCAAAAAATTTAAGAAACCATTTAGCATTTAGTAATTATAAAAAAAAACAGAGTGAGTAAGACAGACAGATCTATAAGATTAGGCAAAAAGAGGCTAAGCAAGTTATAAGAGCATTCAAAGCACACACAGAAGAGAAAATAGCACAGTCAGTAAAAAAGGGGGATGAAACATTGTTTAGATACATAAATGAGAAAAGGAAAGTAAAACAAGGATAAGTTAGATTAAAAACAAAAGAAAAAGGTATGTAGAAGAGGATAAAGGTATAGCTGATTGCCTCAGTGAATATTTTTGTTCAGTATTTACAGATGAAAATGAAGGAAACGGGCCTCAGTTAGGAAAAAGGACAAATGAGTCATTTGTTACATGTAGGTTTACAGAGGAAGAGGTTCTATTTCAACTGTCAAAAGTAAAGACAAATAAGTCGATGCGTCCTGATGCAATACACCCAAAGTTATTAAAATAACTTAGTGGTGTACTAGCAAAACCATTAACTGATTTATTTAACCAATCATTGTTAACAGGAGTAGTCCCAGAAGATTGGAAATTAGTGAATGGTGTACCCATTCACAAGAAAGGTAGGGAGGAGTCGGGGAACTATAGACCAGTAAGCCTTACTTCAGTAGTGGGGAATGTAATGGAAACCATGTTAAAGGATAGGATTGTTGAACATCTAAAATCACATGGATTTCAAGATCAGAGACAACATGGGTTTACTTCAGGGAGATCATGCCAAACTAATCTTATTGATTTTTTTGATTGGGTAACTAAAATAATAGATCAGGGTGGTGCAGTAGACATTGCCTACCTAGATTTCAGTAAGGCTTTTGACACTGTTCCACATAGAAGGCTCATCAATAAACTGCAGTCTTTAAGTTTGGATTCTAATATTGTTCAATGGGTTAGGCAGTGGCTAAATGACAGGCAACAGAGGGTTGTTGTCAACGGAGTCTATTCAAAGCAAGGTCTAGTTACCAGTGGGATCTGTACTTGGACCCATTCTCCTCAATATTTTTATTAGTGATATTGCAGAAGGTCTTGATGGTAAGGTATGTCATTTTGCTGATGATAAGAAGATATGTAACAGGGTTGATGTTCCAGAAGGGATAAGCCAAAGGCAAATGATTTAGGTAAACTACAAAAATGGTCAGAGCTGTGGCAACTGACATTTAATGTGGATAAGTGCAAGATAATGCATCTTGGACGTAAAAACCCAAGGGCAGAGTACAGAATATTTGATAGAGTCCTAACCTCAACATCTGAGGAAAGGGATTTAGGGGTGATTATTTCAGATGACTTAAAGGTAGGCAGACAATGTAATAGAGCAGCAAGAAATGCTAGCAGAATGCTTGGTTGTATAGGGAGAGGTATTAGCAGTAGAAAGAGAGAAGTGCTCATGCGATTGCACACACCGAGCATAGTAGATCATATACATTAATACTATAATATTTATTATATCCCAGCCCTCACAAACGGCCTTTCATGTTAACATTTGAAGGCTACCAGTTAGATATCTGCACTGTGTGCTCTACAACCTGAAGGTATTTTGGACACAGGTTGTCTGAATCAATTTGTATTGAATTGTTGCTATTTTGAAAATGCTTTATAAATAAAAACAACAGTGAAGCAAAACAGGGAGCCTCAAAGCATGTATACAAGTAGAGTACACATTTACAAAGTATAAAGACAAACCTATATCGATTGAACAATCTTAAATAAATCCAGTAGTACAGAGAAATAATAGCAAAACTGTGCTGTTCAAATAAAGAAAGGAAAATTTAAGGGGGAAATAGATGTAAAACAAAGGGAGAAAATTAGAGCGTTAAATGCATAAAGTTATTGGCTGACCTGTTAAAAAAATGTGGAGATAGACAAACAGACCTTTACCAGTTTACATTAAATGTAGTATCTCAGGAGAATAATTAATGAGATTTATCACTATATAATTACGTTCACATCATGCAAGAAACTACTCACACTATCCTCTTTAAAAATTTTGTTCACAAACACTGGAAACACTCAGCCTTACAAAATCATTGCTTAGCAACAAGAGGCTCGATACAAGAATGAACCTATGGTTACAAGAGAATAGTGTTCTCTGGAAATTCACACATGTCTGTACCCTAGTTGATTCTGTTAACACATTACTGCATTATGCACATGAATCTCTTCAATCAGGATATATACTGGGTACAAATATGTTTTAATACATTTATAAATAATGCTATGGGTATCAGAAGTATAGCATTGTTCAGATTAATGTGCGTTTACATGCAATTTCATAGGTAATATGTTGTGGTACTTTATTTTATTTTAGAATTACAAGGACCCCATGTGCAACAACCACTCCTGAAGACAACAGA